AGGAAGTATTTCTTCAGTCATAGAGTTGTAAGGCAGTGGAATAGCCTAGAAAATGACGTAGTGGAGGCAGGAACCATACACAGTTTTAAGACGAGGTTTGATAAAGCTCATGGAGCGGGGAGAGAGAGGGCCTAGTAGCAACCGGTGAAGAGGCGGGGCCAGGAGCTAGGACTCGACCCCTGCAACCACAAATAGGTGAGTACAAATAGGTGAGTACACACATAGGTAGCCTTGCACTGAGGTAGGATGACCAGAAAAAGACGAAACACTCTCATTACCACTCTCATCATCACGCTCCATCACCGTCTTGCAAGAGACGTGCCAACATTACAGTTCATGTCCCCTTCCAAACTGCAAGATCCCTACCACTCCTTCAGAGTGCAGGCACTGTACTTACCACCAGTGTAATTGCCTCCAGTCATGTCCAGTATTCTCACACATGCCTGTTGGATGTCCAAGACCCTGGCACACAAATCCTTCTTTACTTCCTCCCACCAACCTTTTCTAGGACGATCTTTACCCCTCCTTCCTTCCATTATATACACTTCAAATCATCCTATTTTGTTCCGTCTTTTCTAAGTGTCCAAACCACCTCAATAACCCCTACTCAGCCCTCTAAATAATACTTTTAGTAACTCCACACTGCCTTCTAATCTTCAAACTACGAATTCTTTGCATAATATTCACACCACACATTGCCCTCAGACATGACATTTCCACTGCTTCCAGCCTTCTTCTCGTTGCAACGTTTAAAACCCAGACTTCACACTCATGTAAGTGATAGTACTGCTATTCTCTGGTACATTCCCTTTTTTAGTCTCTACAGATACCTCACTGCACCACTAGCCTTTTTTTCCTTTCGGCTATTCTATGGTTCACCTCATTTTTCACAGTCCCATCCGCCCACTCCCAAATATCTGGACACATTCACTTACTCTAGACTCACTCTTTCCAGTCTGATATCCAATCTTTTATTATCCATTTTATTTACTCTCATTGCCTTATTCTTTCCTATATTCTCTTTTAATTGCCTCCTTTCACATACCCTCCAAAATTCGCCTACCAGCCTTCGTAGCTTCTCTTCAGAATCTCCCAAAAGCACAGTGTCATTGGCAAACAGGTACTTTGACTATTCCCATTTTGTATTATCTTTATCTTTTAATCCCACACCTCTTCCCAACACCCCTGTATTCACTTCTTTTACGACCCCATCTTTAAATATGTTAAAGCAATCATGGCGACATCACGCATCCCTGTCTAAGGTCTACTTTTACCGAAAAACAATCTTCCTCTCTCCTAGGTACTCTAACCTGAGCCTCATTATCCTCATAAAAACTTTTAACTGCTTTAGGTAACCTACCATCCATTCCATGCACCTGTAAAGATTTCAAGTATATTATTTTGGAAATGATATATCTTCTGTAACTATGGGATGACTTGTTAAAGTAAGTGACATCTGTCTATGTACTTGTTAAAGTAAGTGACATCTGTCTATGTGTAGGATGAAGCAGAGTAGGTGATTAACATTCATAAAGGAGGAAGTTCAAAATTACAGAGCTTTATGAGTGACGGATGTGAGTGATGGGTGAAGGGGGAAGGGGTTGAGTGAAAGAGGGGTTAGGGTAAAGGGGGTTAGGGATGTAGCTGGAGCCGTGCCTGCTAGGTGACCTGCTCATCAGTGCTTGCTTGGTGACCTGCTCATCAGTGCCTGCTTGGTGACCTGCTCATCAGTGCCTGCTTGGTGGCCTGCTCATCAGTGCCTGCTTGGTGACCTGCTCATCAGCGCTTGCTTGGCAATCAACTCACATGCATTTATACGGTCACTTCATTTCTTGCTTTGTAACCCACTCACAAAATTCGCACACACGTTTAGTCACGTCATTCATCTGTGTTTACTTGGTGACATACATACTCACGTCTAGTCACGTCATTCATCTGTGTTTACTTGGTGACATGCTCACCAACTTCTTGCTTAGTAACCACTTCACAAACACTCACTTCATTTTGTCTTCAGTTATGTTGATTCAGATGAGGAATCTCTTCTCGTTTTACGTTCTGGCAATCAAACTCTGACCCCCTTAAAAAATATATATATAAATTCATCTACTCTCCATAGAGAGACGCGTCTGCCATTAGCGGACGGACGATCGAGCCTCCACCTTTCGCTGAATGACCCACACTGTTTCAGCTCTTTAAGAAGTGCAGTATAATTCTACGGTTCAGCCGTGAGGGGCATGATGTCCACTTGGCCAGGAGTGGCGACATCCACCTCTCCAGGTGTGGCAAGATCCGCTTGGCCAGGAGCGGTGATTTCCACTTGACCAGGATCGGTCAAGTCCGCTCAGCCATTATCAGTGAGGATCCGCTTGGCTACACAAACGAGGTCAGAGTGGCCCATAGGCGGCACAGCTGGTGAGGAAGGTGGTAGTTAAGCTGCGATCTGTGCCAACCCCTTCATGCAATCACTGTCTGATTGGTTGTTGCTACCCAGGCTATATTGTCCCTCCCACGCTCCTCACCTGCCCTACATAACACCTGCAATACTGGATATAGGGATAAAGAGATTTATTAACTATTTAGGATATATATTAAAAGAATCGATTCGTTACAAGTGACTTCTTCAGTCCTGAACATTCTGAAATGTTCCAAAGTGGTGAAGCGTTAGTGATGCGTTGGTGAAGCGTTGGTGAAGCGTTGGTGAAGCGTTGGTGAAGCGTTAGTGAAGCGTTGGTGAAGCGTTGGTGAAGCGTTAGTGAAGCGTTGGTGAAGCGTTGGTGAAGCGTCTAGACAGTAAAGATACCCAAATGTTGCCATGTGATTCTTCATATACCTGTTTTATGCACAAGTACATGAGATAACTATGCTAACTATGTAGGTCATTTCCAAACCTATTTTCAAAGTTACTCATGAATGCTCTACTCATTCACAACTCTATTGCCAAACCTATAATCTTATATTTCACTTGTTGATGGTATATAATACAGATAACATGTGCAGCAATAGGATATTTCTTAAGGAAACGTTTTGCTCATTGGATGCTTTGTTACCCCAGTTAAAGACTATCATTATAATCAAGGGGGAGCGCTAAACACGTAGGATTATTCGACGCCTGTGGGGGGAGGGGATGGAAGGTATTCAGGCTTAATTCAGGGAACTGGAGCACAGATCCAATTCCCTACCCAGAGCAAGAGTCCCTCACCAGCGTCAAGGAACCTTCCTTGAGGAGTAAAGACCCCGCGGCCCTGTCTGTGACAAAGCCTCGGATCTGTGACCAGGGACTAGGTTAGGTTAGATAAGATTGGTCAGGAAACAGAACGTATGATAACCCGTCACTGACTTGGCTTTTGGTCACCTGACCGAGGCCTTCCACTGGCTTACCAGTCCACAACTTTAAAAATTAAGATTAATTTAATAAATATTATATGGCGTTTTGAAGAGGGGAATATATATAATAAGTCTCCATCACAAATTAAAAAAAAATTACTCTATATTTCTAATGTTATTATTTATCGTTGCATTTATGATGTCCAATTATTATAAGTGCTTTATTTTATATATGTATAATGACACATTAATATACACTACATTGTACTACGTGTTTTGGCGCTATTCTAATTATACCTAAGTTACTGCCTGAATAAGAATTATAATATAGGTCTCAAGGCATACCTGGAGGTTACCTGGAGGTTATTCCGGGGATCAACGCCCCCGCGGCCCGGTCCATGACCAGGCCTCCCGATGGATCAGGGCCTGATCAACTAGGCTGTTACTGCTGGCCGCACGCAGTCCAACGTACGAGCCACAGCCCGGCTGATCCGGCACTGACTTTAGGTATCTGTCCAGCTCTCTCTTGAAGGCAGCCAGGGGTTTATTGGCAATTCCCCTAATGCTTGATGGGAGGCTGTTGAACAGTTTTGGGCCCCGAACACTTATGGTGTTTTCTCTTAGTGTACCAATAGCGCCCCTACTTTTTATTGGGGGCATTTTGCATCGCCTGCCCAGTCTTTTACTTTCGTAGGGAGTGATTTCTGTGTGCAGATTTGGGACCATTCCTTCCAAGATTTTCCAAGTGTAGATTATGATATATCTCTCCCTCCTGCGTTCCAACGAGTACAAGTCAAGTGCTTCCAAGCGTTCCCAGTAGTTAAGGTGCTTGACAGAACTTATACGTGCAGTAAAGGATCTCTGTACACTCATAGGACTGTTATTAAAATAAAAGGATATATTAAAAAAATGAATTGAAAAGGAAGATTTCCTAACCTAATCATTTGGCGGAAGAAGAGACCATAAATGTAAATAAAGGGAAATTGTTGAAATAGTTTACTAAAATAAGTGCTACTGCAAGTCGAAATTTTAGAAATCATTCTTCGGCCGACAGTAAGAGCCTGGCTGATCAGGCCCTGATCCACCGTGAGGCCTGGTCATGGACAGGGCCGCGGGAGCGTTGACCCCCCTAAAACCCCCTCCAGGTATACTCCAGGTATACACTTAATACCGATAACGGAACAACACTGCCTTACCTCTGCTCCTTGAACAACAAATAGGTAATCAAATACATATGTATATGGAACAATAACAGGTAAGTGCATATATGTAATAAAAATAATAGCAACTAGACAATCAAAGTAAGTACAAATACGTGATTACATATAGTTAGGCAATCAAAAATAAGTAATTCAGAATGCTGAATCGCGAATAGGTAAACACAAAAATGTAATTAAGAATAAGTAATCACACATTACGACGAGAAAAAAAAAATGCTGGTATTGATTTGTCTGCGACAAATCAAGGGATCATTTATTTTTAGGCAGGCGCCACGTGGTCTTGTACCTGAGATGTGAGGTCAGGGAGAACCTCGTGTGGTGCAGGTAAGATCTTGAATAACAAAAGTGAATCGACGCAATATTACCTTTCTTCCCGGGGGAGGGGCCCCAAGTGGCTGTCTTCCCCAGTTAGTGGCTGTCTTCCCCTCCCCCGGCAGCCGGACCGCACGCACGCACGCGCGGAGCCTGGTAGCCTGGTCTGGTGGACTAGGAAAGAGGGACCAGACCTTTACCGCGCTAGTGCATCTCTGCTAACCAAAGCGTGAGGATCTCGTTGGCTGCCGTCTATCTGTCTGTCTGTCTCTCTCTCTTCTTGCCCGTCGCCCACTTTGTGCCGTGTTCGTGTGGATTCAAATATTTCGTTATTTATATATATAAACCATGGAGGCCAAGAGACATTTGCCTAGGCCTGTGAACCTAGAGGAGGCGGACGATGGTGTGGTGGAGTTCTCACCGCTGAACCAAGAAGAGGAAGGTACTGTGACTATCGAGGTACCCGTGGCTGAAGAGAGAGCAGCCTGGGGCTCCAAGATGCAGTTTATGCTCTCCTGTATATCACTCTCCGTGGGCCTCGGCAATGTCTGGCGTTTTCCCTACCTGGTCCAGCAGGATGGTGGAGGTACGTGCAAGTTTTTGCTCTTAATACCACCTCTTACACTGTCGGGGAATCAGTCCTCGTGTGGTCGTTCCCAGGTAACCTCGCAGTGCATTGTTGCTTACATTTGCACAGTTGAGTTTGGTTTATTTTTGTTTAAAGTCTACTCACTACACGAGGATCATTAAGACCATCTGCAACCTGTACACAACCAGTGCACAGTACAGAATTCACTAAAACGGTGATTAAAGTAAACTTAGTGTACACACCTCAATGTATATACAAGCGAAATTGCTTCACATTTTTGAGGTTATATTGGCTTATATTACGTCAAATATCAGTAATGTATGCCTATAAAATAATTTATACTGCTATCTGAAATCATTTATAGATTTGACAAGTATCAGTTCTGTGTGCAGATTCCTTCCCAGAATACGCGCTACGCCGCTAACTCTTGCGCTAAATACACTAATTACATTACCAGCAAACATTGGAATTTATAATACTTTTCAAAATTTTAAGTGCAAATAGATGGCGCGTCTGTTTTTCGCTAACTGGACGGAGAATCGAGCCTCCTCCTCTCTGCCCTAAATGACCCACTTGCTATGCACGGATAGTATTGACAATCCGTTTCTGAGTGCATTTCCTTGATGCTATTTGAGTCCTTTTGAGTTCCTATGTAAATCTAAATAATTTATCGCGACTACATGACAATAATAAGCATGTGCTTAATCTTAACATTGTGGCAATTTGAAACAATAGTTTATAAGAACATATGTGTAAAATCTAGCCTAATTTACACACACACACACACACACATATATATATATATATATATATTATATATATATATATATATATATATATATATATATATATATATATATATATATATATAATATAGGGAGGTACCACCTCTAGAACTGTTATGGGGACCCTCATCCTCAGAGAAAAGAATAAACTTGCTTCAGGGAAAACTCAAGATTCTCCCTGAAGCTGTTTGAGAATTTTCTCCTACCACCCCTATATTATGTATATATATTTTATTTAAAGACAAAATACAGTGACAAAAACATTCACAAAAATATGATACAAAGTAAAACAACATAGGTAACTCAGAGCTACATCTCGAATACTTCGTCCAGCTCCCCTGCGGTGGGCCGCGTGCCCAGAATGCTGCAGGCTTTCCTCTCTGGATCTCAACACTGAGTCTCTGAAAGAGGAAGCTGGTCGCCCTGTGGTCCTTGGTTTCTATGATGAGCTTTTCACCCATCATATATATATATATATATATATATATATATATATATATATATATATATATATATATATATATATATATATAATATATATATGCATCAAAAGTTGACCACTGGGAAGAATATCCCTCGCGTCGTCAGCTTTATGTAAAACGATCTTATATTTGTTTACTTTCATAAATAACGCAGTACCGTGACTGGAAGAATTCACAAATAAAGTGTAAATGGAAGTAAGTCACATAGGTAATTTACACCATGTATGATAATTGTACTTATTTGTACCTGTGCCTAAATAAACGTACGGGCAACACGGGTTTAGAGCAGGTCGCTCCTGCCTGTCCCAGCTACTGGACCACTATGACAAGGCCCTGGATGCTGTAGAGGATAAACAAAATACAGATTTAGTATACACAGCTTTCGACAAGTGTGACCATGGTGTAATAGCACATAAAATGCGTGATAAAGGAATAACGGGAAAATTGGTAGATGGATCTATAACTTCCTGACAAACAGAACACAAAGAGTAATAGTAAACAGAATAAAGTCCCAGGCAGCCACGGTAAAAAGCTCTGTTCCACAAGGCACAGTACTCGCTCCCATTCAATTCCTCATCCTCATTTCTGACATAGAGATGTAAGCCATAGCTCCGTGTCTTCCTTTGCGGATGACACTCAGATTGCCATGGCAATGATCTCCATCGAAGACTGCGAGACTCCAAGCGGACATCAACCAAATCTTCGAATGGGCCGATCAAAACAATATGAAGTTCAACGAGGAGAAATTTCAACTACTCAGAAATAGGAAACTTGAGGAAATTAAAAATATGTCAGGGTATACGACAAATTCTAACCATACAATAGAGCGGAAAAGTAATGTGAAAGACCTGGGAGTGATAATGCCAGAGAATTTCGCCTTCAAAGACCACAACAATGTATCTACCTCATCTGCTAGGAAAATGATAGGATGGATAATGAGAACCTTCAAAACTTGGAACGCCAAGCCCATGATGATTCTCTTCAAATCGCTTGTGCTCTTTAGGCTGGAATACTGCTGTACACTAACGGCCCTCTTCAAGGCTGGCGACATTGCAGACCTGGAGAGTGTACAAAGAACTTTCACGGCACACATAAGTGCGATAAGGCACCTAAACTACTGGGAACGGTTGAAGGTCCTTGATCTGTATTCCCTGGAACGCAGACGAGAGAGATACATGGTAATATACACTTGGAAGGTCCTGGAGGGATTAGTACCAAACCTGCACACGAAAATCACTCCCTATGAAAGCAAAAGACCCGGCAGGAGATGCAACATTCCCCCGATGAAAAGCAGGGGCGCGACAAGTACATTGAGAGACAAACACAATAAGTGTCCGGGGCCCAAGACTGTTCAGCTGCCTCCCAGCATACATAAGGAAGATTACCAATAGACCCCTGGTTTGTCTTTGAGAAGGCACCGGACAGGCACCTAAAGTCAGTACCTGACCAACCGGGCTGTGCTTCGTACGTCAGCTTGCGTGCGGCCAGCAGGAACAGCCTGGTTAATCAGACCCTGATCCACCTTAAGGCCTGGTCTCAGACCGAGCCGCGGGGGCCTTGACCCCTGAAACCCTCTCCAGGTAAACTTCAGGTAATGGGTCGAAATCGTAATAACGCGATTGTAAACAACGCGTGGAATGGATATCGTTTATTTGGACCGTTAACTCAGTGGGTTGATAACTTGGGCCGAGGGACTGATTACCTCATCTTGTACAGTCTTTTTTATTGCATTGATAAAGCCACTGGTGGGCGAAAGGCCTACAAAATAAAGAAACCCAGCTGTTTTACTTAGGAAAATCCAAGAAAGCCAGTCAGTGTGGCTTATTAATTACTTAGGATAATCCAGATAAGCCAGTCAATGTGGCTTAATAATAACTTAGGATAACCCAGGAAAGCCAGTCAGTGTGGCTTATAAATAACTTAGGATAAAAGAAAGCCAATCAGCGTGGCTTGTTAGTAACTTAAGATAACACCAGGAAAGCCAATCAGTGTGGTTCTTAATAACTTAGAATAAACCAGGAAAGCCAGTCAGTGAGGCTTATTTACGTTGGAAGCACTTAAGTTTTCTTCCAGAATGTGAACAACAATTATCGTTCATAACGCTTGGCTATATTTTTGATAAGGTAAAAAAAAAATAGGCAATAGATGCTAGGAAGTGTTCCCACCAGTCTCGCCCAGCACAGGATTGAGCCCGGGCCCTTTTGGATGTGAACTGAAAGCTTTTCCACAGAGCTATGTTAGGTACTACAATCAAGTGGTCCAGTGTTTTTCCTGAAGACAGATTAGATTGGTTCAACGAGGCGGCGTTGGTAAAGAATAAAGGCAGGCATGATTGTAGTAGACGTTCTGGTCTGTGGTAGGCTGGTCCTCCTAGTAGGCAAGTTTACTCAGTACAGGTACACATAAATACAGTTACATAAATTATCATACATAGCAGCATATTGTAGATTACCCAGGATAACCCACAAAGTCAAAGTAACTTATTTCCATTGGGTTCCTTGACTTATTTCCACTGGAGTCCTACCTATACTCCTATATTCTTTAACCTACTCAAGGTATTAGTAGTGTCTCGCTCAACTACAGGTCTCTCGCTAAATCATTAGTAATGTGGCCACTCCGGATAACCCAAGAAAGTCAGCGTGTCATCGAGGACTATCTAATTTTCATTGAGGTCCTTCATTTTGTTCAAAAGTATGTGACCCACAAGAGTCGACTAACAGTCAGGTACCTACTTACTACTAGGTGAACGGGGACAACATATATAAGGAAACATGCCCAGCGTTTCACCCGTCCCGGGGATTGAATCATAGACACTGTGTGAGGCGAGTATTGTCAACAAATCCACAGGACATTAAGTCATGGTGCTAAGTAACACAGCTCGGCTGGTCAGAAACTGACTCAAGCAACTTTTTATTTTCTCTCTTACTGGCAGAAACAGGTATACCTTTGATGGATGTTGAGAGTTTTCCTATTACCTCAGCAAGGCTTGGCTGATGCTTGCCTGGCCAACCAAGGCGTGGCGGGTGAAGGGGTGTTGAAAAGTCTGGAACCCTTTACACGTGTTCCCCCCTAGTATACTTGTTGCACCCCTACTTTTCACTGATGTTACTTGCACAGCCTTCTGAGTTATCCCAGAATAAAGATGCCCTTTCATGCACACTGTCATTACTTTCATTTATCATAGACAATAATTTCAGTGTGCAGATTTAGAACCAGTTCCTCCAGTATTTTCCAGTTATGAATTATGATGTATCTTTCTCTCTTGCATTCTGTGAGTACAGTTACTTAAATGTTTGAAATGATACAGACAGTGAAAGCTGTTTGTACTGTCTCCAGTTCTTCAACTTGATTTGATTTAAAATGGTTGTTAGTGAACAACAATAATTTAGTCTTTGAAGTCCCATAAAAAGTATCATCATGGGCTAACCAGTGGTGGAGGGAGAGAATAAAAGAGACAGTGGTGAGAGAGAACAAGATAGTGATGGTGGTGGGAGAGGAAAGACCACTAGGTGGTGGTGGGAGAGGATAAGAAAGACCACTAGGTGGTGGTGGGAGAGGATAAAAAAGACTGGTGGTGATGGGAGAGGATAAGAGAGACTGGTGATGGTGGGAGAGGATAAGAGAGACAGTGGTGGTGGGAGAGGATAAAAGAAACAATGGTGGGAGAGAATAAGAAAGAGTGATGATGGTGGGAGAGGATAAGAGAGACGGTGGTGGTGGGAGAGGATAA